CGCTTCCCCTGTCTCTTTCTCTCTCTGTCGCTCAATGGTGAGTGTACATCCTCTGTAGCAAATTAAATAATAATAATAATGATTTTTAATTAGCTAAATCATTCTTTAAAAAACAGAAAAGAAGAAGCCAGAGATTCACTAGTTCTCTTTCCTCCACCATGTGAGGACGCAGCAAGACAGCTGACTACAAACCATGAAGAGGTTTGCAGCTAACCCTTCCCAGACCCTGACCCTGCTAGCATTCGGATCAAATTTCTAAACTCTAGAACTATGAGAAGTAAGTGTTTGTTGTCCTAGCCATCCAGTTTTATAGTATTTTGTAATAGCAGCCTGAGCTAACTAAGATATCATGCCTCAGACAAACATGTGTTAAATCCCCTTTTCTCTTCTCTGAGAAGTACAAGGTGGACCTAAACCCAATCTTCTCTCTGTATGTCCCACCAACTTCCTCCTTGAGTTGAAATAGGTGATTTGACACCAGGCCCAAGAAATACCTCAACAGTTTCCTGACTCCCTGCCTCTGTTTACTGCCAGCCTTTCTCCTTGCCAGGTATGGCTTCCAAGCTGGACATGATTTCTGTTCCATGCAGCATTCCCCCATCGCCTTTTTACTCAACTCTTCAGCACCTCTTTTCACTCTGCTATGGGCTGCCTCCCACCACTGCCTCTGCTGGAGTGTCTTCCTCACTGCCCATGCTCGGTGGTACTGCTCAGGGCACAGCCTGCCATTCTGGACACAGCCCAGCATGGCGCCTACAAATAACATAAGGTCAAAAAATTGACAGTTGATTAATTGTAAGATTGCTGCAACATATTTTCTTTTTTTAAAAAAGGAATTATTTTATTTAACTTTATTTATTTACTTTTAAATTTTTTTTTTTTATTTGACCAGAGTGGGACAGAGTGAGAGAGAGAGGAGCAAGCCACCAGGTCCGGGACTCAAACGCAATCAGCCATCTGTAAGTCCAGCACCCTTATCCACTACGCCACCTGCCAGCCCAACCACAACATATTTTCAGGTCCTTCAAATACAGATGCTGTAGGAAATTGTTTTCCCAAAATGGCTGCCTCGGTGTCTTTTGTCCCACATGCTCTTCTGCAATATGACCTTGCATACCCCATGGAGAGGAGAATTGATTTCTTCACGGCTATGAAATCAGGGCGGGCCCTCTAACTGCCGTGACAGACCGAATATGGCAGAGGAAACACTGTGCCCGTTTCAGGCATGCCCCTCACTAGCGTCTGCGGCTTCTGCTCTCTGCCTCTTGTAATGCTTGCTCTTGCAACCCAGCTGCCCTGCCAAAAGAAGGCCAAGGCATGCAGAGAGGCCACGTGTTAGTGCTCTGGTCAAAAGCCCCAGCTGAGCTCTCAGTTAACAGCTGGCATCAACTTTGTACATGTGAGCAAGCCATGTTGGATATCTAGCTTCAAAGTTCTGGCCAAACTATAATCCCATCACAGACTCTCGGCTGAGCCCAGTCAATCCACAGAGCCATGAAAGATAATACACAGTTGTTTAACATTTTGGGTTAGTTTATTTTGAAGCAATAAATAACTGGAAGAGATGCTAACAGGAATGATATGTACATCTCTGACCAACTAAACCCAGCTTGAGCTGATCTAATGCCTGCATGATCTTGCGTAAGTGGTCCATCAAGTCTGGGCCTCTTTGTCTTCATCTGTAAACATGGCATAACTATGTGTGTTAGTTTTCCACTGCTACTATCACAAAATGCCATAAATTAGTGGTTTAAGTCTGTAGTGGGTCTCACTGGGGGGAAAAAAAGTGTTCATAGGCCTGTATCCTTTTCTAGAGGTCCTTGGGAGAATCCATTTCCTTGCTTCTTCCAGTTTTTAGAAGCCTCTTACAATTTTTGGCTCATGGCCCCTTCTGTCTTCAAAGTCAGCAATAATTAGCTGAGGCCTTCTCACACTGCATTACCTTGACCCCTATTCTGTCTCCCTTTTCCACTTTAAAGAACCATTACAATTACATTTTTGGGCCACCCTGATAATCCAGGATTTTTTTTTTTTTTTAGAGGTTTTTGCCTGAGAGCATATGTGCTTGGAGGTTTGAGGAGAAACAGAGACAGTGGGAGAAAAAGTGAGAAATCACCCCCTGTGGGGATGACCACCCTGCAATCCCTTCTCCTCTATTCTCCTCCCAGGATCTTGGGGATACACACACGTGTATTCAGTATGAGTGTCAAGCCACAAGGTCTGGGACTTGAACCACGGTTGGAGTCCGGTGACATAAGCGCTACACCATATGCTGGCCTTGTGGGATGATCTTATTTTAAGGCCATTGGACTAGTAGATTTAATTCCATCTGCAACTGAAATCGCCTCTCTGCCATTTAACCTAACAGAACTTCCTGGTTTACAAGGAAGGGATTAGGATGTGGACATGTCTGTGGGGTGTAGAGGGCATTATTCTGCCTCCCGCACCATCCTACCTCTTTCTCTCAAACCACAGTAATATTGGGAGGAAAAATGAGCTAGTAAATGTGTACTGATTTTAACTAGCATTTTATTTATTACACAAGAGTTATTGAGCACCTATTATGTGCCAGGCACTATGTTAGATAGTGGACAGATTTGTTGGTATACAAAACTGACAAGATCTTGGGACCAGCAGTTAGCGTAATGGCTATGTCGCTGAACTCCCATGTAGTTATCCCAGACCCAGTGGCTTAAACTCACGCCGGGCGCGTGTGCGCGTGTGTCCAAGATCCCAAGAGGAGAATGGAAGAGAAGGGATTGCGTCATGGCTATCCCCTCTGGAGGATGATTTCTCGCTTTCTGTCTCTCTGTCTCTCTCTGTCTTTCTGGGGAGCAAATGTACCCTATAGCAAAAACCTCTCCCCCCGCCAAAAAAAAAACTGACAAGATCTCTAATATCATATTCCTGTAGTGTTGGACAATCAATTAATCCATATATTGATAGACTATAGGCCATAAATCAGTAGATTTTGAATAAATCTAATATATCCTAGACGGTACTAGAAGAATAATATCAGCTCATTTTAAGTGCTATAATGAGAACTAAAATAGGATGACATGATGGCTTCTTTCCAGTGGGCGATCAGGAAGGCCTTCTTGGATAAGGTGACATTTGATCTAAGAGCAGAATGGGAAGAAGCAAGCAAACTAGGAAGATCTGAGGCCACTAAAGAAGACAAACATTTGTGAAGAACTCAAAGCTTGAATCCTTTAGCAGGAGGAGCTGTGGGCCTGAGGCTTACTCTGAGGCACTACAGGCACCATGTATAGGGCCCACAGACATTTTAAGAGCCAAAGAAACATTTGAAACTTAGGGGGAAAAAAAAAACAAAGACTGGGGACCACCAGTTAGCGTAATGGCTATGTCACTGGACTCCCATGTAGTCGACCGCGGTTCGCGTCCTGGACCCAGTGGCTTAAAGCTCAGGCTGGGCTCATGTGCATGCGTGCCCAAGATCCCGAGAGGATAATGGAGGAGAAGGGATTGCACGTGGCCATCCCCCCTGGGGGGTGATTTCTCGCTTTCTGTCTCTCTATCTCTCTCTCTGTCTGTCTGGCGAGTGCATGCGCCCTATAGCAAAAACCTCTCCAAAAAAAAAGAAAAAACAAAGACTGATTCTAAGATACAAAAGAAAACCACAAAATTGAAGTGAATAAATATTTAATTGACAGAATCATACTTCATCGATTGTTAAATGTAATATTCATAAAATATTTATTACATTTGTAAACAATCCGCAGGATATATTTTTTCACCTCCCTCAAATTTCCAATTATGCACAGCATTCTAAGAAATCAATCATAAATTAAGTGAGTTTATTGTAGCCAAATAATTGTAAAAAAATTTTTTTAAAGCCATTTAGAGTAATAAGCAATAAAAACAAAACAAAACATGTATTTAAAGTGGAGTATGGGACCATATAAATGTGCTTGATAAATTGTAGGGTGGGGCTCCAGAAATAGGAGTTCTTAGACCTTGGAAAATCTTCATCAGATCCAGGGCAGTTAATAAAGCCCTGAGGAGGGTCTGTCGCCCAACCCCAGGGCAACCCCTCCTCCAGCACAAATGGAGGAAGCCTGCTGGCTGCCTAATCCATAACCTCATTCCAACCACCTCCTCAGAAATGACTCAACCCTTTCCCCTCTCCCCTTGTGACAGGGAGGGTAAGGGAAGCACAAGGGCATCTCCTGGAGAGCAAGACCAGTCAATGTCAGCAGCGCAGCACTGCCAAAACCAGACACTGCAGTCACCTACAGACACACAAAGCCAAAATGCACCCAACACATCCATCAGTGTGCGTCCGCGGTGCTGGCTTCTGGGGTCCTCACTGGGTTGGTGGAGATAGGTGTGGATGGCAGTGGGGGCCTAGGTTGTTAATCTAGGAAGAGTGTTGATAAACTTGGTGGAAGACTCTAGAAGGCAGAGCTAAAGAAAAGACTCACAGGACCAGCAGACGGTATAATGTTTACGTTGTTGGACTTCCACGTAGTCAATCATGGTTCAAGTCCTTGACCCAGTGGCTTAATAGTCATGTGTGTGTTTGCCCAAAATCCTAAGAAGAGAATGAAGGAGAAGGGATTGCAGTGTGGCCCTCCCCGCAGGGGGTGATTTCTCTCTTTATGTCTGTCTCCTGTCTCTCTGGTGAGTGCACGCGCCCTGTAGCAACATCTCTCTCTTAAAAAAAAAAAACAAAAAAAAAACAAAAAAAACGGTTAGACTCTACACAATTTCAGGCTGCCTAGAGCCTGTTAATGGGCTGGAGATTCAGACCATGTGGAGCCTGCAGTCCTGGTGGGGTGGAGAATGTACATGTGTGAACATTATTACGAAGCACAAGTATTGAGTGAAGGAGGGTACAGAACAGTGGAGTGAACCTCAGAGACTCTTGCTAACCATGAAGGCCTTTCCAAGGACTTGAGGGTGGATACAGACTGGGGACAGGGAAGCCCCTGTGCTATGGCTGAAAAGCAGCCCACCACTCTCCACATTCTGAGGATTTCATGGCTCCCAGGAAATCTTAAGTTTGTGTTTCTTTTTTTCTTTTTTTAAAGAATTATTTATTTAGCTTTATTTATTCATTAACTTATTTTAATTTGACCAGAGAGAAAGAGGGAAAGTGAGAAGGCAAGCCCTCAGGTCTGGGACTCAAACCATGGTCAGCCATGTGGGAAGGTCCAGTGCCTTAACCACCATGCCACCTGCTGGTCCCCAAGTTTGTATTTCTTCATCGATATTCTGCAACATCAGTGGGAAGCAATTCACACCATATTAATTTTCCACTCTCCCTTACAATCCTTGTCCATGTTATATAAGTGTAATATTATTATCATTTTATAAATATTTATCTATAATATTACTATTAAATATACTATATTAATATATAAATATATGTTCATTCTATTATAATTGTTTTTCAATTCATGTTCTATGATGAACATTTTTAATATTACAACCTATTTTTAGTATTTATTTCTGTAGTTTCTAATGGCTACCTAATTATCTAAGAAATAGGTAGGATTGTGGTTAAAGAACTGGACTCCCATATAGTCAACTGAGGTTCAAGTCCCAGACCCTGGAAGCTTGAAACTCACGCCAGGTGTGTGTATGTGTGCCCAAAATCCCAAAAGGAAAATAGAGGAAAAGGGATTGTGGCATGCCATCCCCTCAAGGGAGCAATTTCTCGCTTTCTGTCTCTCTGGTGAGTACACACACCCTATAGCAAAAAATAAAACAAAACAAAACAAAAACTCTCTAAAAAAAAAGAAAGCAAGAAACAGATGAAATGTACCAAACATTTTTCACTCTTCTCCTACCATTCATTGTACATATATTGGAAGTAACCTTACCATCTATTGGGTTGTCAGAAAAGTCATGTTGCATTTTTGGAAAAACAGAAAAAATATGTCAAGACTTTTCCAAAAACCCAATATCTTAATGTATGTAGCTAGCTTTTTCCTCCTTTTAGATTATTCCCTTAAAATTTCCCACATATTGGTGAAAGGAAAGTGATAAACTGCTTTTCAAAGAGGTTGTCCAGATACACACTCCTGCCAGTAATACAAGGGTATAAAACATTACCAATCTGTGACTTTATTATTGATTTTAGTGTTTAACTTTGTACTTTTTGAAAAAGAATTGTTTATATATCATGCTAATATGAAGATCTCTAAGGTATATTGGCAATTAAAACAAAAAGGCACAGAGTAGTATATATTATATAGTGAGCTACATTTATGTGATGTTGGTGTGTATGTGTGTGTGTTTAATCACACTTTCTATATGAATAAATGGAAAATTCCTGGAAGACTAAATAAACTATTAATGGTGTTTACTCTAGGGAGCAAAATTGAGCTGTGGGTGAGCCATCCAGTGGCATGGTTGAGGTGACTAGATTCCACATGGCTGACTACACAGTTTGAGTCCCAGAGCTGTTGGCTTGAGAAATACACAGGGCACGTGTGCATACAAGTCCAAAATCCCAAAAGGAGGAAGAGGTGGAGAAGAAGGGATTGCAGCATGACCATCCCCCATGGGGGGTGCTTTCTCACTTCCTTTCTCTCTCCATCTCTCTCCAACAAGGGCCAGACATGTGGGAGTTGGAGTAAGAGACACTTGTTATCATGTATCCTTTGGTACAACTTAAACATTTTTTTCTGTCATGAGTTATTCTTATAACTTAAAATTAATTTGAAAATAGAAAAATAAAGTGAACCATGTGAAGATGGGACTACTGCAGTGGTTATTAACTCACACACTGCACTCATACATGAGTTTGAATGCTTGCGTTGTCACTGAGAGTTGTAGCACCCTGAATGAGCTTCTCAACTTTTCCAAATTATAGTTTTTTAATTTCAAAAAGGAGAAAATAATACAATATTGAAAGTTTTTGTCACTGTGACTAAATACAAAAGTACCGTGTTCAGCATCTACTATGAATGAGCCCAGGCATGAACTAGTTGCTATGGAGAAAACCAAGTAGAATGTGAGTGTTTCTGCCTTTGTTGCAAGTACGGTCTCCTTTTGCTCCACTTTCAATTATTCCTCCCCTAAATGAGTAGAAAGAATGGCAGTTGCTTTTAGAGGAGATGTCAGTAGGGGAATATGAGCGGTAAATCATAAGTTCTTTTCTTTAGACAGGGCCTTGTCAGGTCACAATCCTCCCACTTCACCTCCCAGCTAAGACCACAGGGTATGTGAGGTTTTTTTTCATGTTTTTTGTTTTGTTTTGTTTTTCCATAGGGTACATGCACTCACCAAAGAGAAATAGAGACAGAAAGAGGAAAAGTGAGAAATTATTCCTCAGAGATGGCCACACCATAATACCTTCTCCTCCATTCTTCTCCCAGGAGTTTGGGCATGCACACACACATATATCTGGCATGATTTTCAACCTGCTGGATTGGGACTTGAACTACAGTTGGCCATGTGCGAGTTCAGCACCTTGACCAGCAGGCTACCTGCTGGCCCCATCACAGGGTTTTTGTTTTGTTTTGTTTTAAGAATTGTTTACTTAGGTACCAGAAGATGGTGTAATGGTTATATTGCTAGACTCCCACATGGCCAACCACGGTTAAAGTACTAGACCCAGAGGCTTGAAACTCACGCCAGGCATGTGTGCATACATACCCAAAATCCCAAGAGGAAAGTGGAGGAGAAGGAATTGCAGCATGGTCATCCCTCATGGGGGCAGGGGTGTGATTTATCACTTTCTATTTCTGTCTCTGCCTCTCCAGTGAGCACATGTACCATATAGGAGAATTTTTTTTTAAATGAATTATTTATTTAATTATATTTTTCATTATTATTATTTTTCATTTGACCAGAGAGAGACAGAGAGAAATAGAAAGGAAAAGTGAGAAAGCAAGTTGCTAGGTCTAGGACTTGCACCACAGTCAGTCATGTGGGAATCCAACACCCTAACCACCACACCACCTGCTGGCCCCTACGGTGCTCTTTAAGACAGCATTTCCTGTGTTGCTTAGGCCAGCCTCCAGCCCACAGTCTTCCTCAAGTTGCTAGGATGACAGGCACATGCCACCATATCTGACCTTTAGTTGGACCTGGAATCAAACACAGGCCTTTCACATGGTCCCAGCCTAAAGAACACGCCAGCTTAGCAGTGCCTACCTCTGTGACTGGGTCAAATCATTGATTCTTACCCCAAACAAAGTATATTACAAATAGCAATTCTACAAAATCCCAATGGGTACCTCAATGCGGGACCAGATTCCCCCGAAACATTCTAAGTCCCCCTCCCACTACATGACTGACATGGCCCAGAGCACATACTTTATTTGGAATGTTGACATCACTTCCTGCTGCCAGTAGCACTTTGCTGCATTCTTCATGACCTCCTTCTACAGTCAGAAAAAATGGTGTCTCTCCATTCTATTAAAAGAGAAAACAATTTAAAATTAATTGCCCCTTGGCATGGAATGAAATTACTTGAGAAATGGCATGCTTTCTCTATAACTTTTATGCATTACTCTTAATAAATGGGTAGAATTTATCTATTTATGTGCCAATTTATAGGGCCAACACTATATGCTTTGGGACAGTTAAATATATTAATACAACAATCCTATATAGACAAGGTTAATTTTAATCCCTATTCTAGGATAAGAAAACTAAGCCTCGGCTAAAAAATGCCAAAACTGTAAATCCAGCTGTTGACTACAAAGCATACACTCTTAACTGCCTGTTAATGAGGCCTCCTTTCAGAGTTTCCATCCACCTTTCATATTTTTTCTAGTAAATATTTATTAGACAACATGAAGGGATCTTCCAAAGATTCATGGAAAATGTGTATTATAGAAAAACTATGCATGGGTTTCAAAGTCTTTTTAACCAAAATAAACTAGTTTTAATTCCTCTCTTCATATGTATTAGGGTTAAAAAGATAAATAGAACATAGACTCTACTGACAAGGGGATAAAAGCCTGTTAAGAAAGATAATCTTGGGGGATTGTGCCAGCAGATGGCACAATGCTTATGTCACTGGACTCCCACACAGTCAACCACAGTTCGAGTCCTGGATCCAGTGGCTTAAACTCACATTGGGTGCATGTGCGTGCGAGCCCAAGATCCCAAGAGGAGAACAGAGAAGAGATTGCGGCGTGGCCATCCCCCCAGGAGGGTGATTTCTCACCTTCTGTCTTTCTGTTTTTCCAGTGAGCAAACATGCCCTATAGCAAAAATCTCTCTTAAAAAAAAATAAATAAAACTCACACCAGGCACATGTTTGTGCATGCTCAAAATCCTGAGAGGAGAATGGAGAAGGGATTGCAGTTTGGCCATCCCCCTCAGGAGTGATTTTTATTCATTATTATTATGCTTGATGGTCAGAAAAGAGTGCACACACAATCAAAAATAAACAAATGGAGGCTCTATCTTTGTACACAATCCTCGGCCGAAAGCCTGGCATACGTTCTCTCAGAAACCGGAAGAGAAAAAATGAGCATCTAATAACGCATGAAGAGACTTCAAAGAATTTGTGGATAAAGGAATTAAAACATGAATTTATTTTAGTGCAGAAAGTTTTGAAATCCATGTATAGCTTTTTCATAATTTACATTTTCCATGAACTTTTTGAAGACCCCAAGAGTATTACTTTTGCCCATGATGATACACATGATCACACCTACTGCACCTGTGATCGTAACACAGATAGTAACATATATCACTTGTTGCACATTCCCATATGCCAGGACTAGTCCCTGTACTAAGCTTACTACACAGCCTTCCATTTAATAGACGAAAAAATGAATGGATTAATAAACAAAGTGCTATGGGATACTTTGAAGAAAAAGTAAGTAAGACTCTTTTCATCTTTTAGTTTCCCTGCCCTTCCTCTTTTGAAAGCTATTCCTCTGACACTTCCCCATTCACATCCTGTGCTCACCTGTGATGAGCACTTCCACCTACCTCGTTGGTCTCATTTATTTCTTCCCACTGAGTTAGCAGCATGCGCACCGCAGGACAGTGGCCGTGCTTTGCCGCGAGGTGCAGGGCAGTGTTTCCGTCCTGCAACACAGACATACTTGAGGTGGAATCCCCCGTGCCAAGGAACATATCCTTTCATTTTGGTTAAAGCTGCAGTCCTGAGAGGGCCACATTACCCACAGTTTTAAGAGAAAGTTATAAATGTTGAAGTTTTACATGAAAACGCATAGCTGTGTGAACCAGTAGGGAAAAAAAAAAATCACCCATGCTTCTTGTTCTACCTTTGCTGCTGATTTGCTAGCAAAAGTAAAGTAACAAAAGTAATTTCATTGAACTTACTTATAGTGATGGAAGAATTTGGAAGGTGATTTAAGCAATGCATACCAAAAGATTTAAAAATATGTAGAATCCTTTAACCCACAACTCCAAGTCCAGAAATTCTCCCGAGAAAATCATCAAATGTATACATATGTAGGTACATATGTATAAACATATGTATAAACAGACATATACACATGGATGTCTACCCTGGGGTGTTGCCTCCCCGATCACGTAGAGCTGGGTGTCCAGGAGAGCTCAAGGGAGGAAAGGAGAGGGCGGGAGTTGATAATGGAAAAAGCCATGTTGTCTATTGACTTCACAAATATTTATAGAGTGAAAATTGCTAATCTGGACAATCCATAGCAAAAGTGGACAGATTTCACCAGGACACCTAGGATTCTCTGTGACTGCAGTTAACAATTTAGCAGTTCTAAAGTCAATCAAAATGACATCACCAAATCTACACCGTTACTCCCCTGCATCGCCGTTATTTCCCTTTCTCTTACTTTTACCAAAGAAATAAAAGTCCAACTCACCTTGTCCTTTTCTGAAGTATGTAGATGAAGGAAGGTAAGTTTTTCTATCATTTCAACGTGGCCCCTCTCAGCTGCCAAAAGAAATGGTTTTCTTCCTTTCTGAAAATCAATCGCAAACCTCCAGCATTTATTACATACTCGGTGAGCACGCAAGACCACTAGCAAGGCTGGCAACATTTTAAGGATGATGAGGGGCCAAAATGGTTCTCCCTGTCCTTCTTTGGGGAGGGAGATGACAATCTCTCTGATCCCAAACCGCATAAGGGAATTCCACATCAGCGTAGAATCAGGGGGGCAAGAAGTACTGTTCAGAATAGATACGTCCAAGCATCTGGGAGGCACTCCATCTCAGCCAGATGACAAGATCACTTTTTGTTTGCGCACACAAGAGAGAGCCAGAGACAGGAAGAAAGTACCCCCAAATAAGGTGTGGTCACACAGCAATCCTTTCTCTACTTCATTCTTTCTGGATTTGGGGCATACATGCATACATGCCCAGCATATTTTCCAAGTCACCAGGGCTGAGAATAGAATCATGGTTGGCCCTGTGGGAGGCACCCCCTTAACCACTAGGCTGGCCCAGGAAAACTGTTAAGAGTAGGCTTCTGTGGGGATCAGCAGAAGGTGTAATGGCTATGTCTCTGGACTCTCATGTAGTCAACCACGGTTTCAGTCCCGAACCTGGTGGCTTAAACTCACACCGGGCACGTGTGCGTGCGTGCCCAAGATTCCAAGAAGAGAATGGAGAAGGGATTGTGGCGTGGCCATCCTCCCTGGAAGGTGATTTCTCACTTTCTGTCTCTCTATCTCTCTTTCTGGCAAGCGCACGTGTCCTATAGCAGAAACCTCTCCTCGCCCTCCCTTCCCCCCCAAAAAACCAGTAGGCTTCTGTGAAGTGGAAGAAATGGAATGGAGCAGTGAGGCATTATCCAGAAACTATAACTGAAGAGAAGTGTTTAGGTCTAATTTGCTGGGAAGAGAAGTTCAAATATAGAATTTCCTGACAATGTTAATTCCTCCCACTCTCATGTTGCCAATGGAGACTGTGTTTGCAATAGCCAAAATGTCATCCGGAAAAGTGAATATCCCATAGAAACTTAGCTTACGAACTTGAAGTATTTAAAAGCAGGAAAAGGAAATCAGGCTGGCAAAACAGTGGCAGAGTATTTTCTTCCTTTAGAGAGAAGACACAAATTAGTTTAATGTAATATCAGAAAGCTTAGTGGATATCTGTAAGGGGGAGGGGAAAAGCCTCTTTATGACAAGGATCACATATCCAGTATTTGTCATCTAATCCCGTTAAGGCTGGATAATAAAAAGATCATGGCCACTGTTAACCTGAGATTACAGTGCACAAGTCCCCAGTAACTAGAGGAAAAAGGAAGAGAAAATGCTTGAATGATAAATAGCAAAAAATAAAAGAAAATAGAAAATATTGACAGAGTTCAGTCCGATAAGGGGCTGTATTCATGCATGTAAGGAAGCTGGAGAAACAAACTGGTACCAAAAAGTTTACTTACTTCTGCCTACTATGGTTTGAATGTTTTCCCCTCCAAAACTCCCACTGAAATTTAATTGCTGACCTGGCCAGCCATGGTGTTGCAGCAGTATCACAACATTCCATGGTGTGGAGGCCACACAGAAAGGTCTCGAATTCACATCCAGATACATATCAGGTACACACGCATACCCATGACCCTGGCTGGCTGGCTGGAACTGGGGTGAATCATGGCATGCGGAACCTTATGGGGATGCACCTCTCTCTCTCGCCATCTCTCTTTCATGGAATAGATAAATACATTTAACTTAAAAATAAAAGAGGTTTTGTTTTTGTTTTTGTGAGTTTCTTTTCTTTTCTTTTCTTTTTTCCATAGTGTACATATGCTTGCCAGAGAGAGAAACAAGACAGTGAGAGGGAAGGGAGCCAGAAAGACAGAGAGAGACAGAGACACAGAAAGAGAGAAATCATCCCCTGGGGGAATGGCCACGCCACAATAATTTCTCCTCCATTCTCTTCCTGGGATCTTGGGCACACATGCACATGTGCCCAGCATGATTTTTCAAGCCACCAGGTCTAGGACTTGAACTGCAGTTAGCCATGTGGGGGGAATCCAGTGACATAATCACCATGCCATCTGCTAACCCGAGGTGGTTAGACTAAGAGGAATCCACGCCATTACTGAAGGAGGAGGTTTATTGCCACAGGTTTGTTATCATGAGTTCTTATTCTCCCCCATGTCCCACTCCTTTGGCCCTTCCACCTTCCACTATGCGATGACACACTGAGAAGGCCCTCACCAGATGCCAGCACTTTGATGTTGGACTCTCCAGAACTGCAAGCCAAAAAATTGCTGTTTATTGTCTAAAAAAAAATTTCACCTAATTATTGTCCTTGGCCCAGATATCTTGTCAATGAGAGGTACATCCCCAAGCCATCAAAGTTTGAAGTCCTTACTCTTCGTCATTTTCATTAAACCACTAAGAAAGAGGAAAGGGAAGAAACAGGCTCTTTGGAGTCACAGTTTTCTACTTATAAGTTAGGTTCTAAACAAAGGGCAAAAATCTAGCCATAAGCCATAAACAAGTCTTTGGAAATGACAAACCAAAAATGACTGTGTCTGGCACACACGTATCTGCAAATGGAGTCAACAGATAAAGGTTCATATAAATGACAATAAAGTTAATGGGAGCCTCTGGTTTTACACAGATGAAAACGTGGTCACACATCCTTATAAATCATTTGTTCATAGATTAAACAATTACTGAGCACATATGTAATGTGCTGTTTCCTGCTAAGCAACAGAATGGACAGATGGAAGATGACTGCGTCATCCTCAAGAAGCTCAGAGTCCAATGGGGCATGGACATATACACAAATAACTACACTGCAACGTCACAGCTGAATGCAGGTGATATACAGGCATGCATGACCATGTGTTTGTGGGGGCGGGCAGGCGACATGAAACAGTAGAAGGAGGCCTTTACAGACTGCTATCGCACTAGAACAGAGAACAGAGTACTTGTCATCTACTTCTGCCCACTACCTTTTCCACTGGAGAATGACCCCTAGTCCATTTTGTAGAACTGTTAGTTATAGGCTTGTGCCTCTGCCACCCCTTCCCCCTTGGCCACAGTGCTTAGTTCAGGGATGGCCACTGCCAAGTCAGGCCAATCAGAGTCAACCATAGTATTTTATTCTGGCATATTCTGTTTTTTTTTTTTTTTTTTTGAGAGAGATTTTTTGCAAAGGGGCTCATGTATTCACCAGAGAGACACAGAGAGATAGAGGAACAAAGCAAGAAAACACCCCCCCCCACCACCACCACAATCCCTTCTCTTTCATTCTCCTCTCAGTATGTTGGGCATGCATGCACACGCACCCAATGTGAGTTTCAAGCTGCCGGGTCTGGGACTTAAGCCATGGTCGACTATGTGGGAGTCCAATGATGTAACCATTATGCCTTCTGTTGGTTCCCCATTCTGTATTTATTCTCAAATTATCAGCTAAGCCGACAGTAGCCCTCCTAATAAGGAGACCCTGCCTATACATGAAGCCAGCACTGGGGAAAGCAAAGTTAAAGAACAGGAGGAAGAGATGAAGAGTCCTGCTGATATCATTGGAGTTCTTGACTTCAGACATATACAAAGCCATTCATGTCTGGATTTTTTAAATGGAATGAACCAATAAATTCAATTGTTTTCTTATAATAATTCTGTCACTTTCAACTAGATGGCCTCCTATATCACTGAATTAGAATGACAACTGCATCCATTGATGGGGTGTCTTTTCAGGTTCAACTAAACAAACTCACACTCACAAAGTGATCACAGACCACATTTGGCACCAGTACACTCAGAAGACATAGGACACAGGGGCAGGTGGCAGCACAACAGTAAAATGCAATGCTCTGTGAGGCTGACCCATGTGGGGAGGTTCTTGGTTTATATCTGAGCCCTCCCTGAATACGTCAGGCAGATGTGTGCCCATGACCTGGGGCTGGCTAAGACTGGTGGGTGGATTGTGCCTTCAAGATCTTGTTGAGGATAATGTCTCCCTTCTCACTCATGGAAGAAACAAAGAAATTAAAAAAAAAAAAAAAAAAAAGGTGTAGGACATGAACCAGAGCTTGTCAGTGTCATAGGTGTCCAAGAGCTATTGTTTTGGGGTCCCCATGTGAGCACTTAATTGCAAGGTAACAAGATCCACACTGGGCAGGTGTGGGAGCCACCTTGGCTTAGCATGCTCATGTCTACAGGAACAAATATCTCTGATAACAATTCCTTGGGGACAGCTTCCAAGGTCCCCACAACAGCCATGCCTGTTTACAAGAGTTATGCATCCAGGAAAGCCCAGAGCATGGCTTCTCCTTGTGGTATTTCTAGGTCAGCTGTAGTTCTTCCTAGTCTAGATACAATTACCAACTAGGTACCATTTTATTATAAGTAGTGCTGCTTAGTAACACAATTAATATTCTATCTTTATCTTGTTTGCAAAGACACAGAGCCAGAAAGTTAACCAGAAAGCAGGAAAGGGGTTCTGTTAGCTCTTTACTCACAGAAACCATAAATATTACGTGAGGGTGCTGTCCCCCAGGGTGGCCACTTGCTTCTTTCGTCTTTCTGTTAACCTTGTCTAGTTACAACACACCAGTTTTCTTTGGAGAACTCCCAGACACACATACATACCCTGCCATTTAGTGCACTTGGTGCTGAAAACCACCCAGCCTTACCTGCCCACCTCCTCCCACGTGAAGTGATCACATAACCCATGCTGGTCACAGTGCTTGGCTGAGGGTTGGTATTACGATTCAAACAGGACCAAAGTTTTTTCTAAGATTTATATGTGAACATTTGATGAAAGAGGATTTTTCTTTCTTTTTTAAAAAAAAGAATTAATTAATTATTTATTTTAATTTGGCTTAAGAGGAACAGAGTGAGAGAGAGAAAGAAAGTAAGCCGTCAGGTCTGGGACTTGAACCATGCCTGGCCATGTGGGAGTCCAGCACTTTCAACCACCATGCCACCTCCTGGCCCTGGACTTTTCTTTCTTATGGATCAAAATCCAAAAGGATATAAACCATCTTTCCTCCACATGAAGA